TCCACAACGTTTGACTAGGTTAGTTCATAGAAGTCAGAGAGGAGAGATGTTTTGTCTATATTCATACGATGTCCTTTAAAAAAGTGAAACGGGAAGATACGGTTTAGATCAATCTGTCAGTCGGCTGAACTCATAAATGAAATGAGAAATTAATGAAGTAGAAGGCACAATGATCTACTTCATATGAACTTTTTAAACAGATATTAACAGCGATCGATAGAGAATTCAATTCTCTACAAAATGGTATTCTTCTTTGAGGGTGAGGGTGCTTATACGAATATAGACAAAACATCTCTCCTCTCTGACTTCTATGAACTAACCTAGTCAAACGTTGTGGATGTTTTGCTCGAATCGTATAAATACTTACGGTGGTAACAACCGGATTTGTTGGATAAACGTAGTCATAATCGTCCCACGTCGACATTTTCAAATTCAATTATATATTCTGACAAGAAAACGAGCCAATATCAATAATAACCCTCTGAAATATCGCACTATCTTCTTTCGTCACTTACGCTCTAGAACATGCATCAAATTACTTATTCAGTAATAAGTTACTTCTGGGACAAAAGAGCATTATAAGACGGATATGTATAGTTTGACAGTGTAAATGAGTGCTAGATATGAGAATAGTTTAATTGAAGTGTAACCTGCTTTCTTTCTGTCCTCCGCTGTATATATTTAAATAAAACATTAAATAATGACGAGAAATCATTCACTTCGTTCACTGTTCGTGGTAAGAGAAAAAGAAAAACGTTTTCTTTACTATAGTTTACAAAGCACGTGTTGCGGATGAAGAAACGAGTGTAACGTTAACCCAATGAAATTTCCTCGAAAAAGCAATTTAGAAAAAGTATTTGCTTGAAAGAATTTCTGGGAAAGCGACAATTGGCCGAACGACAATTGGTGGCAGACAACTGGTCGAAGCGACACCTGGGTTCTACGACAATTAGTCGCACGGTGGAATTGGTCGCATGCAAAACATTAATCAAAAAGGAATTTTGGTCAATATGCCGTCTTAGGGGCTTATCAGGTAATCAAAGTAGATTAGCGTACCCTCAAAGTCGCAATTAGTTTGGAACGGAAAGAACAACTGATCAAAGAGCATATGAAATGGGTGCTAAGTAGATAATCCGTTTGCTCAGCCGTATATATGGCCGATCGATAGAAGAAAAATCACCATTCAATTTTCTCAAATCATGTGTGCTATAACTATTAGTACAACTGAGCGAAATAAACCATTATTGATGTTTAACCGATATAATTACACAATCGACAAAATCATCGATGAAAAGACGTATTGGAAATGCGCACATTGTCGAACGATAAAGTTTGAAGGAAGAATTCATACAGATGTCAACAACACAACCGTTCTACTCGAAAATTCTGACCATAACTATCCTCCTAGTGCCGTATCCGACGAAGTGCGATCATTCGAAGACAAAGTATGCTCTCGTGCCGTTAGTACTAATGAAAGTACGCAAGATGTTATTAATAATTGTTTAAAAAACGTATCTGATCAAATGGTAGCTCGTATTCCTGATTTCAAACATATTAAACGAAATATTCAACGTCAACGTCAAAGAAATGATTTTCCTCCAATTCTTCATGATAAAAATTTACCAGCAGAATTCCAGCAGAATTAACAACAACAATGCGACACGATAAGTTTCTACAATTTGGTTCTGGACCTGGTGGTAATCGTTTGATTATATTTTCGTCCACTGATCAATTGAAAATACTTGAAGATACTGAAGAAGTATTCATCGATGAAACATTTAAGGTATGTATAGTATTTTAATATTGACTTTCTCCACCAAAAATTGATTACTTGGACTTGTTACTGCATTAATTCAGGACAAATATCAGCGAACATATCAAAGAATAATTAATGAACTGGTTCATAAGTGTCCTTCGTGGAATCCGAAATCGATTATGGTCGATTTCGAAAAAGCTGCTATTAATACCTTCCAGGGAAGTTTTGTTACAAGCGCAAATCAAGCAACAATATCGGGCTGTTTTTCCATCTTCAGAATAGTATACAACGAAAAGTTCAGGTGAGTAACGTTTTCGGACAGCTGAGCCATGTGTGTCATTTTGTATTGTATAATTATTAGGAATTAGGACTGAAAAACGCTTATGAAAATGATTCCAATTTTGCGTATGATGTAAACAAGATTGCTGCACTAGCATTCCTTCAACCGTCCGAAGTCAGTCAAGGCTTCGATGAGCTTTACCTATCGTTACCACCAATATTACAACCACTAATGGATTATTTTGAAGACACATACATCGGAAGACGGCGGCCTAATGGACGTGGAACACCAAGATTTCCAATTGAGTTATGGAACATGCATCAGCGGACAATCAACCATTCAATGCGCACAAATAATTTTGCCGAAGCCTGGCATAGAAGACTTAATTCGGTTATTCTATATCAACATCCGTCTCTCTGGATTTTTATCGAAAGTATCCAAAAAGAACAAAATTTATGTTCATTGTCAGATAGTGAAGATTAATGCAGCCCAAAATTCGAATCCAAGTAAAAAGTATATGGATTATGGTAAACGTCTAAAACAACAACTTCTTGCTCCACATACAACAGTTCTTAAACAATTAGAAGGACTTGCCAGAAACTTGTAATTGTACTTATTTTGTCATGCACTTCGTCTTCGAATGTTCTACTACTTGTGCTGTTGATATCTGTCTGAATTCTTCCTTATTTATTAATTCTAATACTCCTTTGGTAGTTAATGTTATGGATACGACCAATTCTACCGTGCGACTAATTGTCGTAGAGCCCAGTTCTCAGTTCGACCAGTTGTCTACGACCAGCGGTCGTTCGACCAACGATCATGGCCCTGTTGTCGTAGAACCGGAATTTCTAGTCAAACGTTGTGGATGTTTTGCTCGAAAAGTTATTGTGCCATGCAAAACGACATAGAGCACGATGTTAGTAACTCAAAAATGAAGTTTCAGAATCAGCTTAGATGTTCTGAAGTCAAGTGACTTTTGAAACAAGTTATAGTTATGTTTTTTTCTAAGAACAGGTGTATACATATATACAGGACAAAAAGAAAGCAGGTTACATTTCAATTAAACTATTCTCATAACTATCACTCATTTACACTGTCAAACTATACATATCCGTCTTATAATGCTCCTTTGTCCTAGAAGTAACTTAATACTGAATAAGTTATTTGATGCATGTTCTAGATCATAAGCGACCAAAGAAGATAGTGCGATATTTCAGAGGGTTATTATTGATATTGGCTAGTTTTCTTATCAGAATATATAATTGAATTTGAAAATGTCGACGTGGGACGATTATGACTCCGTTTATCCAACAGATCCGGTTGTTACCACCGTAAGTATTTATAAGATTTCGAGCAAAGCATCCACAACGTTTGACCAGATTATTCCCTAGGCGGTCAGAGAGGAGAGATGTTTTGTCTATATTCGTATAAGCACCCTCACCCTCAAAGAAGAATACCATCTTGTAGAGAATTGAATTCTCTATCGATCGCTGTTAATATCTGTTTAAAAAGTTCATATGAAGTAAATCATTGTGCCTTCTACTTCATTAATTTCTCATTTCATTTATGAGTTCAGCCGACTGACAGATTGATCTAAACCGTATCTTCCCGTTTCACTTTTTTAAAGGACATCATATGAATATAGACAAAACATCTCTCGTCCGTGACTTCTATGGAATAATCTAGTCAAACGTTGTGGCTGTTTTGCTGGGAAAGTTATTGTGCCATACAAAACGACATAGAGCACGATGTTAGTAACTTAAAAATGAAGTTTCAGAATCAGCTTAGATATTCTGAAGTCAAGTGACTTTTGAAACAACTTATAGTTATGTTTTTTTCTAAGAACAGGTATGAACATGTATAATCGAAAACTCATTCGAAGAAAGTCTTTTCAAGGAAATTCTTTTTCTAAATTTTCTTTCGAGAAAATTTCATTTGAGTAACGGTAGACCCATTTCTTCATCCACAACAAGAGCTTTGTAAACCATAGTAAAGAAAAACGTTTTTCTCTTTCTCTTAGTAAGAACAGTGAACGAAATGACTGATTTCTCGTCATTATTTAATGGTTTAATTAAATATATACAGCAGAGGACAAAAGCATCTTATCTTTTCATTGCTTAAAACCATTGCTACGTCTACGAAATTGCAGCGCCGGCTAATATATTTAGATAAAATAGCAGCTATATTTAACAAAATAGCTATAATAACAATATATTTAGATAAATTATGTAGAGCCATATACTAACTTTAATCTCAACCTTCAAGCTAGTCTGAGATGACTCACTCTGATTGCATCATGTTCCCGAAGAGAAAACCGGGTAAAACATGATGAAATCAGCATAGAGCACAACATATTTCTAATGTCAAGGTGACCTAGGACACTTCTTCCACTACTTTGTATATATGAAATTGTAGCGCGGGAAATTCTCTATCGAATGGAAAATGTATCTCCTAAAAAGAATTCTGATTAAGCCATTCGAAAGAGCATCAGAAACTGAGTAAAGTAAATATAGTCTGAAAGTTAAGCGAACGAATTTGATCCATCTTTTAATGTTTTGGATCTTAGGGCTATGTTTGAAATATCTTTTCTGCACGGGAGGGTAAATATTTTTTGGATATCTTTGCATCATCATGTAGTCAAGTAGTTACTGTATAGGAGTACGAAAAGAGAAACTTATACCTTTTAAGTTCAGAGGGAAAACCAGTTTCCCAGAAACTCCAAAAACTCTTCAAAACTTTTCCTAATAATTCATGTTTGTAGCACGCGAAATTCGGATCAAAATGAGACATCTCCCAGATCTACACGACCTCTCGTTGCACAGTTATAGAATTTACAAGAAAAAGCCTAAATTCCTTTTTTATATCTATAAAAAAGCTATTCGATTTTTGCGCTTCGGGTGACAAATTGTGCATTTTTTTTCATAAACATTTCTTATTGCTTAGAAATGATTGTTCATCCTTCAGAGAACGACCTTCAAGCAAAAATATATTTTTATCGGCCGAAAATTTCTGTGGGAGTTGTTTGTCTGATTTTTTTCGAAAACTTGTGAAATTTAGAAAAGTTTTGCGTTATATACAGCCTTCGATGCAGTTTCTGATGACGTTTCCGAATAGGACCTTATTGTTTCTGAAACTGTTCTTGGACTGAAAAAGTGGGATTTTCCCCCGACAAACCACGGACTTTTTGAGAAACCTACCATGCAGTCTGGGAACAGTTGTGCTAATTTGCGCTATGTGTGCCTAGAAAGAGATAGTCTGAACAATTTTGGCAAATTTTGGGTTTATTCAGATAAGTACTAAAAAGCGCGTACTCATTATACTCATCATACCTGTACGAAATATCACTGGTGGAAAAAAATGTTTTTTCTTCCAACTTGTAAGCCTGAATCGACAAATTTTTTCACTAACAGACAGCCTAAGGTGTCCCGATGCAGAATCTCTATTTCATCCGAAATTCTTTGCGAAACCTAATGTACAATTATATCATGTAATACAAGAGTAAATAATAAATACTGTACTAGTATTGATCAATAGTGTATAAAGACAAAAATATATACATTCGAATCAACGTTAGACTGGTTGCTTATTTCACAAAATTATGCATTGTAGCTTCACCAAAAACGCTGTAGACTAGGTTTTTCTCAATTAAATGCACCTCTTTGCACTCATGTCTTAGCGCAGTTCTCGGCATGTAACTGTGGAACTGATGAGGAAACAGTAAAACACTTTTTTTTGGAATGTATTGATTATGAAGAGCAGCGACAGGATATGTTCCAACAGATACCCGGTATTATAAATTCCCCTATCCCTTTAGATCACATACTACTCCACCATCACTCTATCCGCGCATTGAATAGAGATGACTTACTATCCATTTTTAATTTAATTCTTCAATATATTCGTCCAACTAAACGTTTTGATTGACTTGATGT